CATGACATTCAACTTTGTGTAAAAAGCTGGTGGGGTATTTTGTAGCATATACCATGTTTATGTGTCTGATGGTTCACATAATTTGACTAGGATTATGGATTAATATAGACACATTTATATTCTATAAATAATGTTCTATAAGACATTAATATAGACTTTTTAATGTGAAAAATATATTATTTAGAAACACAAATGTAGAGAGAATAATAATAAAGAAAAATAAGGGAATGACAAATAAGAAATTCAAAGTAATAGTTACCTTCTCTGGGGTAAGGAAGAGGATGGAATTGGAGAAACATGCATGCATGGGACATAAACAACATGGATAATGTTCTGTTTAGTAAACTTGGCAATGAATTTTAAAAGAGAGAGAAAGATGAACTTTGCTACTTTAGAAGAGTTTTTTTAAATTTATAGACTTGCAAAATCAGTAAAAGTGTTTATATATAACCAATACATAATTTACCTTACTATTAGTCTCATATTATTGTGCAACATCTGTCATCATTATCAAATAATATTGTACATTATAATTCATTAACATCCACACTTAATCAGATATCCTTAGTTTTTACTTAATGTCCATTTTTTTTATTCCAGGATTTCATCCAAAATTCCACATCAATTTAGATAGCATGGCAGCTTGGTCTTTTTTTGGTTTTGACAGTTTTTGAAATTTACCTTGTTTTTGATCATATTGACATTTATACCTTGGATTTCACTGATGTTTTTCTCACAGTTAGAGTGGGGTTTTGGTTTTAGGGAAGAAAATCACAGAGGAGAGGTGCTATTCTCATCACATCATACAAATGCTCTATCATGTTTTGATGTTAATTTGATCACTTGATCAAATGAGGATGTTTGAGTCAGGTTTCTCCACCATAAAATTACTCTTACTTCTCCTTTCCATGCTGTACTTTTTGAAAAGAAGTGACTCTGCACAGAACATTCTCAAGAAGTCTGGGCTCACGCTCCACCTCCTTATGGGCAGAAGTTCTACAAATAGCATTTGTATTTCTTCACCATGTAAAATTGATCTGTTTTCCACCATTTATTACATATTTATCCAACCAATTATTTAGATCATATGAAATTGTATGTAAAATCATAGATATTTATTTTACACTGTACTTGTTCTAGCTGATTTATTTTGTTGCTCAAATTGTTCCAGTGCTGACCATTGGAAGATCTTTGTGTTGGCTCCTGCACCATTTTGAAATACTGACATCATTGCCACTTGACTTTTTGTGTATGGTTGGTTGTTTATGCTGTTGTTTAGCATTTACATAATTTCTTTCACTGCAAAGTGCTCCAGGGTATTGTATTGTTTCCCTGCCCAAACCTAGTATTCACCATTCCTTCAAGGAATCAAGGAATCCTAACTCTTCTTCTTCTTCTGTTGGTGGTGGTGGTAAATGGTTTATAAACAAAGATTTTGGTAGCTTGTGTACACATTTCTCTTAGGGGTCTGTTGATCTTATGCTTTGTCATCTGACAAAGTAAAGGAATATATGTGTGTATAGTAGCTCACACATATAATCGTGTGTGTGTGTGTGTGTGTGTGTGTATTTCTACATTTGTCCATGCATATCTATATAAAATTAAATATGAATTCCTGCTAATGTCTCCAGCAAGGCATGAATCTAATCCAGTAACACATGAATCACTGCTCATTTTCACTCACTTGCATGTAACTTTCTACTCTAACATTGAAGAAGTTGGCCTCGTTTACTTAATCATTGAGACCCACAATGCATGCATAACAATTTAAGAATAGTTAATCCATACCCCCAGAATTTTGCAACTTTACTAACTAAAGACCATTTATTGCTATGTACAAATCCTTTGTCCTGTAGGTTAGAATCTCCCCTAATTTTTTAAGTTATGAAGGTTCATCTTTTTTTTCCCACTTTCTTCAGTAAGGGTTTTTCATACATTTGTTGTATAGTTATGTTTTTTTTCCTGCTTGCTCCCTGGGATTTTCAAACAGACTAAATGATGAAATGATGTTTTTAATTTACATATATTTAGGTTCACTCTTTGTGATATAAAGTTCTGTAGGATTTGAAAAATAGCATCAACACACCATTACAGTATCATAGAGAATAATTTCACTGCTTTAATGATACCTTCTGGTTCACCTATTCAACATTCCTCTCCAGAGCCCCTGGAAACCAATAATCATTATATATTCCTAAAAATTCACATTTTCTACAGTGTTATCTAAATGAAGTTACATATTTGTAGTCTTTCAAACTGGACTTATTCGCTTATCTTAAGATGTGTGTAGTGTATCTCATGATGAATAAGTTTTGTGTTTTACTGAGGACGAAAAGTGTTGAGTATCTTTTCCTGTGCTTATTGGACATTTCTATAGATTCTTTGGACAAATGTTTACTCACCACAATTTACCCACTTTTAATTAGGATATTTCTCTTTTTATTTTTGAGTTGTAAGAAGGTTTTATATATTCTGGACAATTGACCCCCCTTTGCCATATGATTTGCAAACAGTCCTCCCGTTATTTGGGTTGTCTTGATGGCATATGATGAATCACAAAACTTTTAAATTCTGATGAACTTCAATTTATCTATATTTTTTCTGTTATTTGTAATCTTGTGATATCTCTTAGAATCCATTCTTTCACTTAATGCCACAAAAATTTATTGCTATGTTCTATACTGTGGTATTTATAGTTTCTGCTGTTGGGTCCATGATCTTGGGTCAATCGTGTATATGGTATAAGGGAGGTGTCCAAATTGCCTGGGGATATTCATTTGTCCAGCAGCATTTGTTGAGAAAAATATTTTTCAATAATGAATTATATTGGATACTGTGTAAAATCCATCTACTGTAAACATAAAGAATAATTTCTGGATGCTCATTTATTGACATATGTTGATCCTTTCGCCAGAACCACAATGTTGTGGTTACTGTCAGTTTGCAGTCAGTTTTGAAATCAGGAGGAAGGAATCAAGCACTCTAACTTTGTTCTTCTTTTTAAGATTGTTTTGGCTGTTCTGGAGCATTTTCATTTCTATATGAATTTCAGAATCAGCTTGCCAATTACTGCAAAAAATGAAAGAGAAGTCGGCTAGGATTTCTGTAAGTATTGCAGTGATTCTGTAGATCCATTTGGAAAATATTGCCTTCTTAATAATATTAAGCCTTCCAATCAATGAAAATTGAATTGTTTTATTGTTTATTTGATATAATTAATTTTTTAAATATGTTTTATATCAGTCAATGTACATATCTTAACCTTTTTTCATTAAATTTATCTCTATATATATTTTCTTTTTGATGCTATTTTAAATGGAATTGTTTTGTGAGTTTTATTTTTAGATTAATTGCTGGAGTATAGAAATACAATTGATTTTCTTATTGACCTTGTATACTACATCCTTTGTCACCTTGATTTTTTGGTTATAATCTTATTTTAGTGAATTTCATAGGATTTTTCAGACACAAGATCATGACATTTTTGAAAAGAGATAGTGTGACTTTCCAGTTTGGGTGTCATATATGTTTTTCCTGCCAAATTTTCCTGGCTACATCCTCTAGTACAATGTTAAGCAGGAATGGCAAATATGGACCTTCTTTAGTGCTTTTAATCTTGAGGTGATTACTGAGACTGTCTTGACTTCATGTGTTGATGTGTGGGTTTTTTGTTGATGCCATTTTTGTGTGAAGAAATTTCCCTTCTATTCCTAATTTCATCCTTTTTTTGTTTGTTGTTTGTGTTTTTTGTTTGTTTTAACATGAGTGGTGTCTCGACTTAAATGCTTATTTCTACATCTTCAGAGATGACCATGTGGTCTTTGCTTTTCATTTTATTAAAGTAGTGATTGCACTAATTGTTTTTGTAACTTGAACCAAACATGCATTCCTGAGATAACTTCCCTTGGTTATATTGTAATTAATCTTTACATGTTGCTGATTTGTTTTCATCTTATTTCTTTGAGGATTTTTGCCTCTTTACTCATAAGGTATATTGATCTATAGTTGTCCTTTTTTGAAATGTCTGTCTAGCCTCATAAAATGCATTGTGAAGTGTTCACCTTTTTTTTCTCGATAGAAAAGTTAGCAAAAGATTGTTATTAATCATTTAATGATGTGGAGTAATTCACCAGTGATGTCATCTTGACCTGGATAGAAATTGAATCCTAACAACAATCGCATGAGCTTGGAAGAAGATCCTTTCCCAGCTGTGCTTTCAGTTAATACCTCAGCGTGGTATATCTGACACAGAGAAACTGTAAGTAATATGTATGTATTGTTTCCAAACACTAAGCTATGTGTTTCTTCTTATGCAGCTATAGATAAGCAACACACGTGACAGTAATTGTGACGTGACATGCTGGATTAGATCCTGGAACAGAAAAATGTATCTTACTGGAAAACCTGGTAAAATATTCAGAAAGTCTGCACTTCAGTTAACAGTTTTATATACTGTCAGTATCTCAGTTTTCATAAGTATAGTATGGTTATGTAAGATACTGACATTATAGGAAGCTGAAGAGTATATGATACTCCATGTACTTTGAGGTCCTGTGGCCTGGAGCGAGAGATGCAGCTGACCTGGACCACGTTTCTCATTTCTAAGATCAGGACAGCAATTATTCAGGTGCTTCTATTTCAAGCATTTGTAATTCAAGAAACCTTCTCACTCATCAAGACTTATAGTTTTTTTCAGTGAAAAAGGGCAGCGTTGTTAAAGTTGACACCATAAAACACGGGGCTTTATATTTATAATTTTTCCTTTTATTATAACAAGTACGCAAAAAAAAGGCAAGTTATAAAGGCAACATGACTAGCTGAGGAAAAAGAGTGACCCATCTCCAAATTGCAGGTGGTCATGAGCTTTATGTGCTCAGGGTTAGGAGAAGACAGGCAAGTTATAAAGGCAACATGACTAGCTGAGGAAAAAAGCGTGACCCATCTCCAAATTGCAGGTGGTCATGAGCTTTATGTGCTCAGGGTTAGGAGAAGACAAAGATGGACACAAAACTGTTTTAATAAGATGTCACAGGCACAGAGGATAGTGCTGAACTCCGAGTCCTACAACATCACTTTCCCATACTATCTCATAGTATAGAAGATGTGAAGTCTCACAACCTATGAACCAACGGTTAACCAGATTTCACTGAAGCTGCCCTGGCTGCCAGAGTTCTCAGAAGATGCCATTGTAAGTACTACAGATTCTTAGACCACATCATGAGGCAAGAACCAAGCACCTTGTCTCCACACACTAGCCTGAACAGAGGTTAGATTTCAATAGATGGAGGCTTATATATTTCAGATCAACACTTGCTGTTAATTAAGCCTTTATGGATCCTGAAACTCTAGGTGCAAATACATGGAAAATCCTCAGTGATAAATTATGTGAGATTTTTCTTCATTCCGTATAGTCATCAGGAACACCAGACCTCATTCCATTTTCTACAGACTGTAAAGTAGAGTTAACCAGAGTAACAAGTTGGCAGAGCAAAACACTTTTTTGGAAACCACAGGCCATATACTGGTGCAGCGAATGATCATAAAGTGATTTGTATGGTCACCATCCTTGTGATCACAAAGAACAATGGGAAAGAAGAAAAAATTTGACATACAATTATTTTGGATTCATTAATTAGATTTTGGATGAATCTTAAAGGGTGCATTGCTCATATTTCCATGAGAATAGGGCAGAAATTCTCAAGGTACAGATTTCCCTAAGTCTTTAGAGAGCTACCCCTCCAGTGCAAACATTCATGTGACTCATTGCCATTTCTAACTTTGTTCTCACTGGAGTTTTTGAACCATGGTTAATAAAATGACCTTTCCACATATGTAGAATTTTTGTTATTTTTAGTTTTTTCTTGAGGTTTCTCTCTGGTCAGTGGCCATAAATGGGACTTCCAAAGATTTGGTCCTGGATGTTTGCAGTGTTCTTTTCATGGGACCCTTCTTTATCCTGGCAAATGCTCTAATGCCTACACGTGTGACCTGTGACCAGGTGTTCCTTTTGCAGGAAACATGTTTATACTGGAAGACACCTTATGGCTCTTGTCTGACCAATGACCAGTTCATTCCTACCGATATAGCTACTCCCTGACTGGGAAGGAAATTAGGTCCAGGTATGTTGGTCAAATGAGACACAGACAAGACACAGGAAAGAGCAGAAGCAGCACATTACCTGCGGATCCCAGAGAGGAGAGGGCAGCATGCCTCAGAGGGCCAATACGGAGGGAGTCATCCTGGACACACACCCACAGCCAGTGGGGCTGGGGGAGCAAAGAGAGAGACAAAGAATGAGGGACCAGCATCCTGAAGCCTTTATTTGGCTCCCGGGCTTTACCACGCAGGTTTCTCCTGGGTTCTTCTACATGGGTTCTTCAATCCCAATTACAGGAAGCAAGCAGTGTTTAGTCACACTGTGGCTGAGAGGTGGTCACTAAAGGACAAGTAAATAGACCCCATATGACGTGGGGGTCAGTGGGGCGAGTCAAGACTGTATCCAGCTGTTCCATGGGGAGTGGTCGCCAGGAGGGGTTGTATGAGGAGAAATCAGGATCTACCATATTGAGCAACTGGGAGGGGGCAAAGAAGGGGAAACTATTGTGCCTTACTAAGTCCTGCTTCTATTATGAGCAAGTTAAACCTGTATTCAAAATGGATATCAAATATAGAATTCACTACAACATTTAAAAAATAATAATTCCGGTAATTTAGTAACTAGCACCTGTAATACCTGGGAAGAAGGTGAAGAGTATTGGTCAACTTACATGATACTATATTTAAGCAGGTTTCCTCCATAATATACCAGAATTCAGGGATGAACCACCATGATTTACAATGAAAAATAGGCAGTCACAGAGAAAACAGTGTATTGCACTAATCCTAAATTGCACAATTTCACATCTTTCAAATAGAGATGCATCTTAAAATTGATATTGAAGAAACAGTGTTATCCAGAAGGCAGTCATAATGTGATTGCCCTCATGTGCACACACATTAACTTGGCGTAAAAACGTTTCATTATTGGCTTATGGTGATATCGTCACCATCACATTTGGACCTGGTGTGTCAGTAGCAGGGAAATACAATCTCCAGAGAATAGTTCAGGAATCTCACAAGAAATGTTGGCGTCAAAAAATCTTTTAATCACCACTGATGATGATAATGTGGAGAAAATTGCTTACAAGGTGACTTGAAAAGCGATTCAAAAGAGTTTGATCTGAACGAGAGAAATCTGAGAATACCTTTGCTAATGTATTTTGCTTTCAATTTACATCTTATGTAATCATAGGCATGATATGACAGATACTCACATTTATATAAGTTCAAGAGTTATTTTCAGTAATTAAGATATGAAAATTCCACGTGATAAGTATTTATACCATACTTTGCCAATGGTTTTATTCTTTTACTGTGACATAAAAATAATATTGCATTTTACAATTGATGCAAGTGATACACTTTATACTTACTAAGAACAATCTGTCAGAATTAGCAAATACTGACTTAGGGTTTAGTACAGACCTACTTCTACATACTTTATGTATCGTTAGTTCATTTAATCCTCACAACATCTCAGGAGGTGGGAGCTATCACCAGTTGTCAATCTGAGCTAAAGCGCTACAGGAAAGGTATAGAAAAACCTTGAGACTGACTCGATCTCTAGAGTCCTTACTCACCTCAGTTCTGTTAGAATATCTTTTCTCTTATATGGTCCAGGTTTAGTTTGAGAAATCTTTTGACCTCAATCTCATGACCTCAAGATCATGGAAGTATTTGCCTAAAATAGGTTTTAAATACTGTATCATTATTTTTTATGTGTAAGACTATCATCCACCTCAAATTGATTTTGAGTCTGATGTGAGCTTAAAGTTAGATTTTATTTCTTCTGATGGCTATTCAGTATCCTGGAACATTATTAAAATTTAATATTTTTCCATTAAATATGAAATAATTGTATGTGCATGTAGTGGCTATTAAGCTCTCTTCTCTTTTTTTTTATTGCTTTATTTTTCTATGTATCTTACTATTAAGAAAGTTTATTTAACAAAAGAATTTTACCTCCAGAGGCCATTCTTTTACTCACTGTGCTAAACTGTAAGGAAAATAGAGAAGCGTAGAATCCTGCATACCTTGCACCTACACCAATATTCTCAGTTGTACCTCGAATAAAGAGGAGAGTATAAAACTTTAGGACATTGCTGTTGACACTTCTGTGTCTAATGTCCTTGTAAATCTCAGACAATCCCCCCACACCATTTCCTGTGTTACTTATTTAGTATATTTTCATTGAATTTCATTCAGTCTAACTCCTCATCTTCTTTCTTTGCTTTATGAAGCCTGGGGAACTTTCCACTCTAGCAGCAGCAGCGAGCAGAGCAGAAGCCTGTGCAGACATCACTGATGCTTCCTGCCCCAGCCAGGAGGACACAGTGGGTGAGGTTTTTCTTCCCTGAACCATGCTCACTGAGAAAGGGACATGAGCTGGCACAGCCTGGTCTAGAGTCTATCTGTGGGGTCTGCATGGGCAGGGCCAGCTGCTCCTGCCCTTCCTCTGGGGTCTATTGGAGAAAGCAGCTATTTTGCTTAAAGATCAAGTCTGTTCAGCAGTCATTGTGCTTGCTGTCCAGGGACATGTTACTGTTTCAAGCCTGCCTTGTAATATTTGTTTTGGTTTTTGTTTTGTCTTACAATGTCTTTAACACTTGTCTCTACATTTACTTTTTTTTTTACTTATCTATACATTTACATAAACATCATCTACAACCAAATTAGTATCATTGTCTTGTGTATTAACGCCTTTCTTCTGTGTTTAATAATGTATTTATAATCATTTTTTGCAAAATCTTTTAAATTATTTTTATCTTTTCAAGAATTACACTTTACTAAATTGAATGATAATAGCACTTTTATTAGGAAAGTCACTTGTTACACATTCTCTGTTTTACTAGTCTAGAAATTTTCTCTGAAATACCTCTGCTTGAAAAGGAGAGGAACAGACTTTTCTGGGAACCACAGTATGAAACTTGCTCAGAGTCTCATGCTTAAAAAGCACCGTGAATGTTTTCATTTAAATGACAGAGTTCGTTCTAAGTGTGATAGTTTTGCAAAGCATTAATTTGTGTGCACAGAACAGAGACTTCCTTTCTAAACACAGAGACCAGCCATTTCATTAATATGCAAGAATAAATTTCAGTATATTGTTTGGTTTCCTCTTACACAAACTTATGGACATTGGATAGGTTTCCTTCCACAAAATTTTGAAATGTCTGCAAGACATTTTCTTATATAATGACCCATAATATGGATATTTATTCTTTTCACTTGATGAGTAAATACTATTTTTTTAAAATATTCAGTAAAAAAGATGCTATTAAGAGAATGTTTACACACATCTCCAGGCAGCACCTATTTTTATAATGTGGTCTTGTTGAAAGAGTTGAAATCCTATGTTTATTTTCCTTTATCGGATAAGAAATAATTTAAAGAGTTTTTTATGCTGGTGACTTTTTAGATCACCAGAGCATCTCCCATATTGCTCTTTGTCCACTACACATGTGGGGCTCACAGGGGAACAGCACAATGTTTTCATGTTCTCTGATAGTCCATGCAGTGGGGATTCAGAAAACATGCCAGACACTGCACTGCAGGTGCAAGAGCTGCACTTGGTACTCAGAGCACAGGCAGCAGACCTGGAATGGGAAGGACGAGGAAGCCTCTTGGAGGAGGAACACGGAGGAGCCTCTGCAGAGTGAAGAGCAGCGAGTCAAGCAAACAGGGGAGGGAAAGAGGAGAGGAACCGTGTGTCCGTGGCACAGGTCAGGGCATGGGAAGAGGCCGCGGATATGAAGGAGGCTGGGACAGGGACAGGTGACAGTGGCAGGAGCAGGAAGGGCAGACCTTGGTGGGATTGGGCAGTGAGAGAGGACAGGCAGGAAGTGACGCAGGGACAGCTGCAGAGCATCGCATTCTGCGTGGAGGGGCTTTGAGTGTCTGGGTCTTGTTCCTGGAATCCTCACCCCAGCCCACGAGGTCTGCCTGTCAGGAAGACAGGAGTGAGGATGGTCCCTGTGCACCGGGAGGTCCGAAGGTGGAGAGGGTCAGGATCAGCGACCTTGAAGGCTCCTGTACGCCTCCCGTGCTCCATCGCTCAGATCCCCTGCCCCACCTCGATGGCAGGTTTCTTTCTCCTCCGTCATTTTGCCGGTGCATGCGGGACCCGTGGTCAGCAGATGTGGAGCAGCCACGTCCTCGCCTCCTGCTTCCACGCGGGGAATGGAGCAGCCTGAGCAGCTGCGCAGAGAAGGGACCTGAGGCAAGAGCTGCAGGTGCCGCAGAGGAGGGCACGAGGAGGGAGGAGGAGGGAGGCAGAGGGAGGCTGTGTGCGCAGCCGCAAAGGGCGCGGTGGGCGCTGCTGCCTTCACAGGACGCTGCTTTGCGGGCAAACGTTCAAGCGTTTATGTCTGCATGGTCTCATATGTTTTTGATATTCGTATGCAAATGTCATAATTTCCCATGTTTTTTGAACGTAACATAGCATATTTTAACTTCATTCTTTCTATCACATGTGCCCTTTTCTATCACATGTGTTATGTACATAGCAATAGTTATTTACTACAATTTTTATTAGTGGATTATTAATAGGTAAAAATTTGCCAACTTGTTTATTTTAATTGATGGGTAACAATCGTGTATATTTATGGAGTACAATATTATTTTTTGATTGTTGTACACATTGTAGGAAGAATCAGTGAGTCTAATTAACATTTCCTTCAGGTCACCAAAGTATTTTTTTTTCTTGTGACAACTTTAGTAATCTATTCTTTTAGCAATTTTTAAATATACAGTACAACTTAGTGAACAAATGAAATTACCCCGCATTAGTGTGCCTTTTTTTGGATCAATTCTGAAGATTAGTATCACATTTCAGTGGGGAGTCACCTCCGCGTGCCTTACACAGCAGTGCTCTATGGAGTCTTGTGTTTTTCCTGTTGATTTTTAGGCCCTTTTGTTTTCTGGGAAGTATTGAACTATGAACATACTAACGGAAAATCTAGTTCCTTTCATTTTTACTTTGTTTTTACTCTCCTTACAATAATAGAACTTTTCTTCTACTTTCTTTGGATTCAATCTGTTTTTCCTTTTCTCGGTTCCACGTGTGGAAATGTAGATGGCTGGTTTGACAGCTACTGTCTTTTCTAAGATATGTACTCAATGCTACACATTTCCTTCAAGTTCTGCTTTCATTGCATTCTGCACATTTTGATAAGCTATGTTCTCCTTTTCATTTTGTTCTTAATATCTTGAGATTTCTTTTTTGACCCATATGTTATTTAGAAGTGTGTTGTTTAATTCCCATGCATTTGGTGATTTTCTAGTTATCCTTCCAGTTATCCTTGGATTTAGAATTTAATTCCATTGGGCCTGAGAGCATACACTGTATGATTTACATTCTTTTAAATTGTTGTGGTATATTTTATGGCCCAGAATGTGATATTTCTTGTTGAATGTGCCATGTGAGCTAAGGAAGAATGTGTAATCTGCAGTTTTTGGATGAAGTAGCCTGTAGATGTCCATTATATCCAGTTGCTTGTGAGAAATAAAGTGGCTTAGAGCAATCTAAGGAATGTGAGAACTGCTAAATATAACGGGTCCAGTGAGATAGGAGCATGGGGCTTCAGTCACAGCTCCTTCCCCCTGGTCTGAGATAGTTCCTAGAAAAACATGTTCTAGCTGCAGTTTCCAGACTTGGTGCCGCCACCAAGAGCATAGTTTACCCAAATGTTATCACTAGTTTTAAAATGAGTTCTGTGCATCTTCTTTAAATGTGTATGTGTCTCTATATCTAAAGTAGATTTCTTGTAGACAGCGTATAGTTTGTCATGTTTCTTAATCTACGATGTCAATGTGATTAAGACCATTGACATTGAAAATGACTATTGATATAGTTGGATTAATAGCTACCATGTTTATGATTTCTATTTGTTTCCCTTATTCTTCCTTTCTATTTTTTCTTTCCACCCATTTCCTTCCTTTTTTTTGGTTTTAATTGAGCATTTTATATGGTTCCATTTCTCTTAGCCTATCTATTATATATCCATTTTTTTAGTCATTTAAAGTTTCTTTGTATTTTAAATTATTACACAAAGATTTTCTTGAAAAGAATAATAGCAACACTGTATTTGAGTATGTGTACATATGCATATATCATATGTATATATGTATATACATGTATATGTGTGTATGCATATATGTATAAGTGAAATAATGGCAGCAGTAATACAAAAGTCTAGAGAGAGAAATTAAGAATATTTGGTATTATAGGGTACTAAAACTACTGGTAAAGTAATACAGTGTTATTTGGGAAGGGGCTTGGATTAATTTTAAATGTAATATTACAAACTCTAGAGCAGACTGTTAGCAAAGGCCCCAATTTCCTGCTGGCTATTGATCATAGGCCTAATTAAGTTCCTTGCCACGTGAGCTTTTACTACATGACAAAATAAAAATGCTTTATAAATTTAATCAAGAGAGGGATTTTGTTATCAAGGCAGAAATCATAGTCTTATGTATCATAATCACCCAAGTGACAGGCCAGCATATTTAAAGCAATACTCTATTGCATAAGAGTCACAGTTCCTGACCACACTCATGGGGAGGGGATTCGAATGCAGGGTTGTGTGCAATAGCAGGTGGGTCATTGGGTGCCATATTTATGTCTACCTGCCACAACTGGTCTTCTGTAGTCTGAAAAAGTTTCTTATGTTTCACTTATTTTTTCATAAACATGAATGCAGGGTTGTGTGCAATAGCAGGTGGGTCATTGGGTGCCATATTTATGTCTACCTCCCACAACTGGTCTTCTGTAGTCTGAAAAAGTTTCTTATGTTTCACTTATTTTTTCATAAACATGACACTTTAGAATGTATTCGTCAGTTATTTTACATAACATCTCACAATTTGGATTTTTCTGATGGATTCCCATGATTAAACTATGAATATGGATTAAATTGGACACTTTTATCTAAGTTTGAAGGCAATGAAAACATTGTTTGACCTAAGGTAAAAAAAAAAATGTTTTTCTATTGTCTCTTCTATGGAGTTTGTCTATTTAGCACATATACTTAGGAGTATGATCAATTTGAGTGAATTATGTATGTGATGTGAGAGAGGAGTTGAATTTGCATGTAAATATCCACTTGTCAAGTAATATTTGATGGAAAACTATTTTTTTCTGTATTGAATTGATTATGTTGTAGAATCATTTACCGTAAATGTAAGAGTTCATTTTTGCATATTCAATTCTGTTTGATTGATCTATAAGTCTATCCTCCCAATAGTACCACAAATTTTGATTATTATCACTTTGTAGTAAGTTTTAAAATCAGGCAGTATGAGTGTACTACTCTAACTTAGTTCTATTTTAATATGATTTTGGCTATTCTGGACCTATTGCTCTTATCTGTGAATGTTAGAATCAGGTTGGCCATTTAGGCAAAGGAAAAAAAAAAGAATATTACATGAAATTTTGATAGGGATTACATCAAATCTATACAGCCATTTAGAAATTATTGCCATCTTAATGTTAAGACTTCTAATCAATGAGCACTGAAGATTTTTCCACCTATTTAGAAATTCATTAACTTCATTCATCAAATTTTGTAAGTTTCATGGTACTTATCTCACACTTATTTTGTAGAATGTATTCCTAAGTTTTTTTGTTTGTTTGTTTTTTATGCTATTTTAAATTGAATGGATTTCTGAGTTTGATTTTCAGATTGTTAATTGCTGACATATAGAAATATAATTCATTTTTTTATATTGTCCTTGAGAACTGCAACCTTGTTGTAGTCATTTTTTATTTTTATTGTATTTTATTTAGATTCCTTAGGACTTTTTATGCACAAAATCATGTCATTTTCAAACAGAGGTAATTTGACTTCCTTTCCAATCTTGGTGCCTGTGTTTATTTTTCTAGGCTAATTGCCCTGACTACATCTTCCACTACAATGTTGAAAAGAAGCGGCAAGAATGGACATCCTTGTGTTGTTTCCACTCTTAGGGAAAGTATTGCCCCTTCAGAGAACTTGTAATGTTACATGAGTTTTATATGGATGCTTTCCTAGGTAAAAAAAGTTTCCTTTTAAGCCTGATTTTTACCTGTTTTTAACATGAATAGATTTTTGAATTGTCAAAAGTTTATCCTTCAGCTTTTGAGAAAATCATTTGGTGTTTCCTCTTTATTCTGTTAATACAATTGTGTTATACTAATTGTTTCTGTATGTTGAAACAAATTTCTGTTCCTGAGGTAACACACTTGGTTATAGAGCATAATCATTTTTACATGTTGCTGATTAGTTTTGCTTGTATAATTCCTCAGGACACTAGCCTCTATTTTCATAAAGCATACCAGTCTTAATTTTCTTTTCTTGAAATGTCTCTGTTTAGTTGTGGTATCAAGGTAAAGTGCCTCATAGAAGGCATAGGGAAGTGATCTCTTCTCTATTGTTATTATCGTTGTTGTTATTTTGTTTATTTTTTGGTTTTGTTTTTGAAAAAAATTGTGAGATTGTTTTAATGTTTGGAATCATTCAACAGTGCAGTCTTCTCCTCCTGGGCTGGGAATTGAATTCTAACAACAATCACATGAGCTTGGAAGATCTTTCCCCTGATGTACCTTCAGTTGAGACCTCCGCCAGGGCCATCTGACCCAGAGAAACAGTGAGTAATGTGTACGTGTGGTTCTGAGCCACTAAGCTATGTAGTAATTTGTTATGTAGCTATACATAAGTAATACACCTAACAGTAAATGTAATTAGGTGTCCTGGATTAGATCATGTAACAGAAAATTATGTTATTTGAAAACCTGGTAAGATATGAAACAAGTCTGCATTTCAGTTAATAGTTTTGTGCCACTGTCGATTTCATCATTTTCATGAATATTCTGTGGTTGTGTGAGATGTTAACAGTACATGAAGCTGAGGGGTGTATGAAACTCTGTAGTATATGTGTAACGTTCTATGAATATGAGTGTTTCAAAATGAATATTTTTTTTTAAAGTATTATTTTGGTGATAAAAAAGACAAACAAAATCACTGGGCCTAGGACATGAATGGACATGGAGGGAGAGAACAGTAAAGCCCGTTTTCTTATTTATCCACCATCCCAAACACAGGTGCATCTACCCAGGAAGCTCCCGTCAAGATCCAGGGGTTGTCATTCATGTTTTTTCTTCTAATTATATTTCCCAGTCACAGATTGAATGTCAGTAATCATTTCTTTAAAGACAGGTGCTTGTGCTTCATGCATCTCAGAAAGCCCCATTTTCAGACACTGTTTGGGAGGGTCCTACTGAAGTCTTTTTGAAGACTTGACTTCTTAATGTTAGAAGTTGAGGTTGAGAAATATCAATTAAAGGAAATGTGGATAATACTTGAGCATTTTTTTTTAAAAGTATTATTTTGGTGATAAAAAAGACAAACAAAATCACTGGGCCTAGGACATGAATGGACATGGAGGGAGAGAACAGCAAAGCCCGTTTTCTTATTTATCCACCATCCCAAACACAGGTGCATCTACCCAGGAAGCTCCCGTCAAGATCCAGGGGTTGTCATTCATGTTTTTTCTTCTAATTATATTTCCCAGTCACAGATTGAATGTCAGTAATCATTTCTTTAAAGACAGGTGCTTGTGCTTCATGCATCTCAGAAAGCCCCATTTTCAGACACTGTTTGGGAGGGTCCTACTGAAGTCTTTTTGAAGACTTAACTTCTTAATGTTAGAAGTTGAGGTTGAGAAATATCAATTAAAGGAAATGTGGATAATACTTGAGCAGACAGGAGAATTTTTTCTGGGTATAAGGATTTCTTATTCTTGTTAGCAGATGACATCCGTACCTTCATGCCTGTGAAAAACATAATTAAGTTATTTTCAAGCTACAGAATACAACATGGCAACTGTATATTCTGTTAACACTTAGACCTTGAAATTTTTCACACATTGCCAAGTCTCAGAGCCATGGAATAGATATTGCCATAGTTGCAGGTGAGTAGGTGTGGGGACAATAGAATAGTTTGGTCAGGCTCCCTCCACTCAGGTCCGGTTGGGGGCCATGCAGCACATTTCTTTGTAAACAAGTTGTGTGTGGGTGGAGTTAGTGCGTATGTGCACCCATGTATCTTTTTAGATTGCTGCTATTGCGTGTTCTTCAGTTTGTGAAGCAGAGCTGGCTGGCAGAGCTCACATCTTGAAATAGAGCATGTTTACTCTGGTGACAGGTGCTCAGTATTTTCTGCAGACTTTGCTGGTAGCAGTCGAGTTTCTGAGTTAGTCTTTGTACTGCCTAGCTCGCAGATATGTGTGTGTGTGCTGAGTAAAGATTATTCCTACTTCAACCAAGGCTCCAAGGACTTTTTTGCCAGTTACCCAGCTCATAGACCTGCATGTGAAGGGTTTGTGAGCAGGCTTGAGGGGTCTGTGAGCTCCAGACCCAGCCCTAGCTCTACAGCGAGGTACAGAAAATGTGTATAAATATGGTGGTTTAGTTTAGACCTTTTTATACAAACCTAGAAAAGAATCTTTAGACATTAGGTTTTTGGCAGGTGAGGCAAGTGAGTGATAGACATGTATTGTTCACAGGTGGAGAAAGCTCAGTAGAAAATAAATGAAAAACAAAACAAAACAAGCAGGATACAACATATTCCCAGCCCTCCATGCAGTGATCTAAGAGATGGACATGGGCTGAATGATGACTCTGCACATGTGCTGGATAAACAGAGGATCCCTCAGCAGGGAGGACTGTCCACTCATCCCACACAGCTCCCTGTGCATAGCACTCTGGACAACAACAGGATTATGTCCGGTTACCATGTCTACAGAGCTTACAAATCCATGGACTGCACGATGCTCCCAAAGATTCCCGCAAAGTAGAGACTCTGGCTTTTATGGTCCATAATCAAGCAATATACTCTCCACACCAAATTCATAGTTTCAGTAAGAAGACTAGCTCCTGTGACATGTAGACGTGGAGTGAGAGACACAGCTGACATAGACCATATTTCTCACTTCTGAGATCAGGATGGCAGATATTTAGGTGCTGCTATTTAGGGAATTTGCAATTCAGGATGCATTCGTACCTGTAAAGGCTCAGACTTCACTCCATGAATAAGGACAGCATTGTTAAAATTGACATCTTAAAACATAGAAGGTTATTTTATTCATTTCATTATAACCAGAGCTCCTTAAAAAAAATGTCAAAGAGGTAGGCTATGAAGGAGACATAAGGAGAGACCTGTCTGAAATGGCAGGTGGAAAATGAGCTCCAAGTGTTCAGGGTTGACAGGAGAGGTGATACTGATACTGTACTAACATGATGTCACAGGCACATACGACAGAGTCCCCAAACATTGCTTTCTGGTAACGTGGACTATATGATTTGCCACAACCTACCAAACCTCCTGTGACAGGATTTCACTGAAGCTGGCCTGGCCATCAGACTTCTCAGAAAGATGCCTTTGTAAATATCCCAAATTCTTTCACTACTTCATGGGGCAAGAATCCAATATCCTGACTTCACACTCCAGCCTGAATAGAAGAGAGAGTTCAGTAGATGAATGGCTCATATATTTCAGATGAGGACTTTCTGTTAACTTAATTGAGCCTAGTGTGATCCTGAAGTTATAGGTGCAGATACACACAAAATCCTAAATTATAAATTGTATGAGATTCTTATTTCTTTAATATATTCATCAGGGAACATGAAAGCCCATTGTATTTTCTAAGTACCCAGAAGCAGAGCTAATGAGAGTAACAAGTGAGAAGAGCAAACTGTCTTATGAAAAGCACAATACATCTACTTCTGCAGTGACTGTTCATAATGTGATTTGTATGATCATCGTCTATGACACTAGAAACATGAATAGGAAAAGAGAAAGAGATGGATATGCAATTGTTCTGGATTGGAGAATTGCATTTAGAATGAAGCTTACAGGGAGCATTTCTCATATTTCTAAGAGTAAGGCAGAATTTCTCAAGATACAGATTTTTCTAAGTCTTTAAGAGCTACCACTGCAGGGAAAACTTACAAGTAACTCTTAGAACTTTTATGTTCCTCCTCAATGGATTTTTTAAAATATAGTTTATAAAATGACCTCTCCACATATATTATATTTTTGTTATTTTTATTTTACTCTTGAGGTTTGTGTCTGGACAGTGGCTACACACTCTAGCCCTGCCCAGTGACACTTAATGGTCTTTGGTCTTGGATGTTTACAACATGCCTTTTGTGGGATATGTCTTTATCTTTTTAGACAGTCAAATGCCTAAGTGTCTAACCCAAACCAGCTGTCCTTCTCACCAGAAACTTGTTTATATTGGCAGACACCCTTATGGTCAGACCTTGTATCTGACCTGTGACCTACTTATTCCTACCAAGATAGCCACTTCCTAGGAGGGCCCTGAGTGAGAAAGAAGTCAGATTCTGGTATGTTGGTCAAGTGAGACACAGAGCTGGCAACTGAGCAGAATGCATGAAATAGCCCCAGCCATGTATTATTTAGATTTCAGGGAGAAGAGGGCAGAATTCCTGAGAGGGCCAAGAAAGAGGAGGGAGCCATCCTGGCCCCCCCCCCAGCAGCCTGCGGGTGATAATGGTGCAAGATCAAAGAGAGACAAAATGAGGGGCCAGTTGGCTGAGGTCTTCATTGGGTTCCAGGATGTTACCCAAGCAGGTGTCTCTTGGGGAGCTCTGACTGGTGGGTTCAGAGCCAGCATGAGGTGCATGAAGTCACACCATGACAGGAGGTGTTCACTGCAGGATATCTGCACAGTCTGCATGAGGTGTGGGAGTCAAGTATTGTTTCCATCTGTCCTATAGAAAGTGGTCAAAAAGAGGGAGTGGCATAATGAAACTACTTGGATTGCACACATTTAGGAACTGGGAAGTGGTGGAAAACAGGAAATGGTGTTGTGGATGATTAAACCCTACTTTTGGGATAAGCAAGGCAAACCTATATTGAAAATGGATGCCAAGACCATGTAATATTACAAGAATTCACTACAACAACTAAAGTAGGCTATCCAGTAGTTCACTAATGACTCTAACATCTCTACTTGCTGGGTAGAAGGTAAACAGAGTTAGTCAAATTATATGAAACTATATTTAAGCAGGATTCCTCAGTACTAGACCAGACAGAACAGCTGAACCACCATGATTTTACTCTGAAAAATGGGCAGTCACAGAGAAAAAACAGTGTGTCCCATTGATCTTATAGTGCACATTTTTATATCTTTCAAATATATTTGCATTTTAAAATTGGTATTGTGAAAACTCTCTTCACCAGAAGGCAGACATAACATAATTTCTCTTGTGTGTATACACATGGACTTGGCATAAAAATCTTTCAGTGTCACCTTCTGGTGATCTCCTCAACATCATAACTCACAGAGCAGGTGTCAGTTGCTTGGAAGTAGTAGCTAGTCTCACAGAGAGTTGTAATTTCATAAGAAATGTGGCATCAACAAAGCTTCTGATTAGCAGAGATCATGATATTATGGTGAAAATCATGGAGTAGTTGAGAAGTGTTTAGGAAGAGTGTGATCTGAATGAGAAAAAAATTAGAATAACTTTATTGATTATTTTGCTTTTATTTTTATCTCAATCATAGAAGTGACGGAAGACAAAGAGTTTATATAAGTTCAAAAGAGTTATTTTTAATAACTAT